ACAAGAAAATCCAGCTGAAAATTTCTATGTCTACTCTTTCCGAGGCAATCTTTGGTGACTATGCGATGCTGCGCTATTCTAAAGCCTAACTTAATACTCCTCTATGGACCACTAAAAATAGCTGAATAGTAATTTTCATCACTTCGGTATGCTACGTATGCTACTGGTGCATTTACATATTCTATTTCTCTACGACATCGCAATTAATCTCATTTTAGTGAATTAGTTCATCGATTTTATCGTTTCTATTGCAGCGCTACCATCAAGCTCCTCATCATCACAATTACAACTTGCTACCGGAAAAAATACGGTAAAAAGGGAGTCACCGCAATTAAAGGTCGAAAATCTTGCCAGAGCCAGGTGAGGCCATTGCTGTCTAATGATTTTTTTTGAATTGTTTAAACATTTCAAAACGACCTGATTGAACGATATGGGGTTGCTATAGCTTCGGATTCCGAATCGGGCAGAAATTTGGAATTAATGAGTAAGCCATGCCTATGAACCACTTGTGAACGGAAATCTACGTAGTTATTATTCGTACTATTGAAGACGTTTCCACAATCGCGTTGTAATGGGCTCTGGTAGGAAGAGCTTACCGATTTACTGTAATGCACAAATTAACTAACTTTATACCTAGAAAAACTTCAAGTAAAGTTCAAAAAATTGACGATTTCGAACAGGAAAAAAATTCTGCAGCATTTCGAAATCTCCACAGTTGCACTACAATTTACTACAAGTGCATTTGCAAAAGTGACCGCTAATGACCTTTTCTGTCACCGTGACTTCTTTCGATGACCGCAATTCTGTTTTTTCCACCGCGCGAAGAGGGAAAAAATCGCGTTGGGTCGCGATAAAAACTTGACGAAGGTCAGTACGTTCTCTCGTTTTTGTGCTAGGACAGGTCATTGAAAAAATCCCGTACTGTGAGTTCGGGTAGTGCTATAGTGCACATGAAGATGAGAGTTAATGCACGTTGTTCAGTTTTTACAGCACACCAAAACCGTTGGCACCACCCACGTCGATATCCGAATGGCAATTATTGGCTGTTTTACAACGGGCAAATCTTGTACAGTACTACGATATGTTTATTTCACAAGGTAAGGAGAGGTTTTCAGAATGGCAGTCACTTTATAAAAATTTCTTTGAAAGGCCCCCTTACGGCCACCTTCAAAAACGTCCATAATAGTTAAAGAGACTCCTTGTAAGATGGGAATACCTTTCAGCATTGACAAGTTTTTTCTTCAGATGTTATAGAGACTGTAACTAATCTCTAAATATGATTCTTACCCTAACCATACAGATGGGAAATAGATCTTATTAGTTGTATAGAAGTATGCTTACACTTAACGCTTATTTGTTTTATAGGAGGAGATGATATCAATCAAATTATGCAGTGCGATGAAGGAGAGTTCCTGGAAATTATGTCACTTGTAGGAATGCTTTCGAAACCTCTACACGTTAGGCGGTTGCAACGAGCCTTAACAGTGAGTTTTCCTGCTGCCATAGTCATTCACTTACTTAGAACC